TCAGTACGACGTTTGACGCTCTGTGGTACACCTATATTCTAATGTCTCCTGTGATTTAACTGTTACGATCTTGGCTCTACTGACGACCAGATGAACATTGTTACACGGCAAGCGAGTATGCTGACATGCATCTTGTTTATGGAGAAACAAGGCGTGTTAACACTAGAGGTGGAGCAAGTTATTCTGCCAGGGAAGCTGCCAGGATTTACGCTGAGCGGTATCCGAACCGTCAGCACCCAGCTTATGGAGTATTTTTAAGAGTACACAACGCTTACTCACAGGGTCGATTTCCTGGTGGTCCTTGTAGTGAAGGAAGACCTCGGAGACATAACGACGATGTTGTTGTAGAGCACGTAACAACAGATTCGTCGACGTCGCTGCGCGCTATTGAACGAAGAACTGGCATTCCAAGATCATCGGCACACCGAATACTGCAAACGTTAAGATACCATCCGTATCACGTGCAAAAAGTGCAGTCTCTTTTAAATAGAGATTATGCACCGCGTGTACAATTTTGCCGAAAATGATCGAGCTAAGCCAAGAAGACCCTAACTTTTTTAATCGAGTTTTGTGGAGTGACGAATCCACCTGTAAGAAAGATGGCTACGCAAATCTCTACAATCTACATAGCTGGCAAATATCAAACCCTCATTTAATAAGAGAGGACCGTTCTCAGTACCCGTTCAAAATCAATTTATGGACTGGGATTTTTAACGGCAGAATTGTGGGTCCAGTGGAATTACCTGCAACATCAAATTCGGCAAATTATTTAGAACTATCGAGAGACACATTGCCGAGACTTTTAGCAGAAGAACCAGAGGATTCAATACAAACAATGTGGCTACAAAATGACGGATGCCCAGCCCATTTTTCACGTGAAGTGAGGGCCTACCTTGACGAGGCTTTTCCTAGGCGGTGGATTGGCCGTCTGGGGCCAATTCTATGGCCTCCAAGGTCTCCATACCTAAAACCTCTAGATTTCTTTTATTGGGGTTGCCTCAAAGATGAAATTTATTCGCGACCGAACACACCGATTGGATCCCTGGACGAATTAAGAGACCGTATTAACCACGCTGCACAACAAATTTCTGTTATGAGCTTGCGGGGCCTAAAACAAAATTTTTTGAGAAGATGTGCATTGTGTATTCGCACTGGTGGCAGACACTTTGAACATCTTTTATGAGAATCGTAATTGGTTACTTCTTTATTGATGTTTTTGGTTGATTAAAGTTGAAAATTGAAAGTACTTTTCTGTGTTTTCTCAAGTTTACCTTACATTGAAACACCAGTTTTTGATTCTTGTACTTTTTTAAACAAGTATTGAGCCGTGTAACAATAGTTTGAACATTCGATCAACGTGAAAAGCAATTACGATTTGAAAAGTGTAATTCTGAAATTCGACCCATTTCGCCCTAGCACTCTAAGAATCTTTATTCTCCTACTCTGTTGAGGTAAATTACCTGGTTTGTACCATTTTCGAATCTTCATTAACTGGGCTATTTTTCGGAGAGGTTTGCCAAACAAGTCCCATACATTTTTCTTATACCACTGTTAGTCGAAGTTACAAGAAACTTTTTGATGCAGAAAAAAAATTCCAAAATAGCGCTGCGATTTCAAAATTACGTGACTTTTAGAATAAAACTGTTTGTAGTTTCATGCTTCAATCATTCGCTAATAATAATAGTGAACAAAAAATGAAAATAAACCCTAAACGCGGCACCTGTCGTCAAAAGTTTGACCAATGTCATACTTTTTCAAAAAAACTGAATGTTTGTTTTAACGCAAAGGTTACACGTTTTTTTTGTTAGGTCTGTACCGCAATTGAGAGGTCATTTCGCATATTCTGGGACACCCTGTACATTTTTCCATTTAACTTCTGTAAAGAAATATTCCGAATAGAAATTGTATGTCTTCGTCTTCTTACTACTGCTTATAGTGTTTTTAATTGCAGGCCAACTCTAACCTAACCGCTGGACTTTGTGCCGTTCAGTTTTAAGCTGAACACACTGCTGCCACGCCTTGCGTATTTATTTCGTTCAAAATAATCGAGATCGTTCTCGAACAGATCGCTCACAGCGGTGTTGCCACTGCTTGTGTATATTATGAGAACTTACAAAATTTACGGAAGCTTCTATGATATTTAAAATATGTGAGCCACCGAATAGCCTTTGCGAGCTACCGGTAGCGTAACGGTTTCACCGTCCGATTGTATTTATTAAATCACTTCTCGATTATCATTTCAGAATCGCAAATCATTAATCCCACCGACTGAGCTACCGGAAGCTAATGGTAACCCCCTTTCTGTGATTGTGCAGAAAAGTTGGAATCTTCATTGCATTCCATCTTTTCTGGACTTTTTGCGGAAAGGAAGCATTACATAAATTGAAGTTTTAAAGAATTTTGAAAACTATGTTCTGTCTGCCAATCTTCCACTAGCAAACCACTTGTCGACAAAGCCAAACACCAATCGAAGCCTCACGTTGCGGGTGCCAATTTATGCTCAATCGAAGGGGGCGAGTTTTTCGATCTGTACATTGGAGCGAGTAGGTTTTCCTATGTTTATTTCCTAGTACAGATGCGAACGGACAAGAATTTCCTTTGATAATTGTTAAGCTAATTTTCTGTAAAAGGCAGTTGAATGTTTACTTTGGACATTTGTCATCGTTGTTCTTTCAACCTTTTGAACTATTACGTCAGTCCACCATTTACAAAATTTACAACTCATAATTATTCTTCTGATTCCAATTTAATGTGTATACTTCATCTTTTGAATATTTCATTTTTCTGAGTGTACTCGAAATTTAAATTGCATTCCCGATCAAAATCATGTGACAAATACTGTGTATAATATTTTATAATGTTTTTATGCGTATATTTTCTGAATTTCTTTTACATACTTACGTACCTCTATTTTTGAAGTCTATTACTTTTGAAGTTTTTGATAGTATCCTCTTTTTGAATTCATTATAACTTTCTTCGAGAGCACAGACTTACATTGATTTTTGGTTCAAACTTTTGATGTTTGTTCACATATTTTTGAGTGGTTTTGAACTTTGACAGTATTTTGTAGTCTGGATAGTTACATAGATTCGTTGCGATGTATGCCTTTGAGGGTCTTGTACTATCCACAGTTTCTTTAATTGAAAGTGTTTTCTTCATATGCATTTTATTTTCTTCTTGAGACTTGTCATATATGCTTTCCGCCTAGTTGCAAATCTGTGCGTATTGATAAACTCTTGAAACCTCTGGCGTATAAGTAAAACTCACTTTTGATATAGTAATTTATGTCTCAGTTCAATTCAATCAGTTCAATTTGATTTGAAGTAATTGTCAATTCCTTCTTGAGATTTTACATATATGCTTTCAGCCTTTGTGCACATTTGTGCGTATTGCTAAGTCTTGAGCTTGGTTGCGACATTGCTTTCATGTTTTGCTATAGATTTTGAAATATCTGGTGATTTTGCTTTTGCATTGTTGCATTTGTTTTGATAGTCTGCTCTCATAGTTTTTTTCCGATTTCTTATTTCTTTCAATTTCTGTCTTGACTTGAAGTAATCGCCAATTCTTATAGATTCAGTATAGTAATTCTCTTTTAATACTTTACACTGGTAAATTATTATAGTTTTTCTAATCTTGTAATATTTCATATTTGAACTTAACTTTCATTTTACAATGTATGGTTATTCTCAGTGTAGACTTTGAAGTGCGCTGATGATATCAGTGATCCACATGAAAATATTCCATAGACTATAGACATTCTTGTCTAGGGCTTTGGAGTGCACCTATGGTGACCCTAGAAAGTTGTCTTTCTCTCATATTTTTGCTTTAAATCAAAATTCGAATTCTTACCTATCATATTTATTTCTATTTCTTGTTCATTAGATTGTTTTTTTTATAACTCCAATTTTGCACCTACATATATCGTAGACTTTTGCATACAATTTTTGCTTGCGGCATTACTCTTATGTATCATGATTTGTTAAAATATCTTGGGATTTTCGTTTCGCTATTTTACATTTTACATATGCTCACTTCGTTTCTCATTTATTACTCATGAAACTTTTAATATTTTGCTTACTATTGTATTTTTTTGAGAATTTCATAAATGTCTCTTATATGCTTGCAGACTGCTGGCGCCCGACAATTTTTTTTGTGGAATCAGAACTGCACTTAGTTAACATCTTTTTTGATTAATATACCTTCGTGATCAAGTTTTCATTGGTTTAGTACTTGTAAATTATTTTGTTATATGACTTGAATTCCTAATGGAATTTGTTAATTTCTTTTGATTTTCATATTTTGAAAATAGTAATGCACCGTTTTTTTATATTGGATGCGAGTGTAACGGTTTCACCGTCCGATTGTATTTATTAAATCACTTCTCGATTATCATTTCAGAATCGCAAATCATTAATCCCACCGACTGAGCTACCGGAAGTTAATGGTAACCCTCTTTCTGTGATTGTGCAGAAAAGTTGGAATCTTCATTGCATTCCATCTTTTCTGGACTTTTTGCGGAAAGGAAGCGTTACATAAATTGAAGTTTTAAAGAATTTTGAAAACTATGTAGCTGTCTGCCAATCTTCCACTAGCAAACCACTTGTCGACAAAGCCAAACACCAATCGTGCCCCACGTTGGGCGCCAATTTTTGTAACGCTTCCTTTCCGCAAAAAGTCCATAAAAGATGGAATGCAATGAAGATTCCAACTTTTCTGCACAATCACAGAAAGGGGGTTACCATTAGCTTCCGGTAGCTCAGTCGGTGGGATTAATGACTTGCGATTCTGAAATGATAATCGAGAAGTGATTTAATAAACACAATCGGACGGTGAAACCGTTACAGTAGGTGTAGGGGCAACCTACTTGACGCCATTTTCTTTGGAAAGTTCGTGTGACGCCCCTTTTACCCTGCATCCCCGTATAGTTCCACGGTATTCACTGGTACCCAGGCCTGAGGCCTTAGTGGAGATTAAAGTATAATAAAAATAACTGCGCTTACCTGTCTAGTGAGTAATACTACTGTGAGGATGTATCCGTTGAGAAGGAGACCAATGACAGAGACTAAAGTGAGCGGTATGGAGAAAAATAGAGATATCATCACGACAACTCTCCATCTACCTCATATTCTCACGTCGATGGAGAAAATTGCGATGGTTCTTCATCTTCCGCTGGTTAGGTCTGAAATAAAAAAAATATTATGTTTCTATTTCTACTTCACGTTGGTCAACGTTTTAAATGAAATAACAGTAATACATTCCATGTTACTGTTATATCTATACATATACAGGGTGTCCTAAAAAAATGGTCCGACGAAAGTATGGTCACTAATAATGGGGTCATTAATCGCGGCGACACTCTTTACTGGGCTCAAGAAAATCTGCGGGCTAGAAAAGTATCTAGACCAAGAACGTTTTGGGCTTAATATTTGGTGTGGAATTCTAGGGAGAATAATATTAGGTCCATTTATTTACCACAATTCATTAAGTACAGAACAGTACTTTTAATTGCTGCAATATGATCTAGAAGACTACCTGATATTCTGGGTTGATTTGAACGTTCAGTGAAGTGTACTGGCCAGCACGTTCCTCGGATTTAGCTCCCAGGGCTTTTTTGTTTTGGGTTTTATTAGAAACCAAGTTTATCAGCATACTTTTGAAACAGCAGTTACGAGAATGTGTTATGGAAGCATTCAGTATGATTACACCAGAAATGTTACGTGATGTTTTAAATTATACTGTTAGAAGATCATAATCCTACATCAGGCATTTGTTTGCATCGCCTACTTAAATAAAAAAGAAACACATTTTACTCTATAACTCAGAATAGAAATTTAACATGCGATATATCAGGATCATTTCAAAATCGAATTATTTTTTTAACGCGGAACATGTATACTAAGTGACATATAAATCCGAACACCCAGTTTAAATGGTTTTATTTTAATAAAAGTTGGTGAATGTATTTATCTTACTGTAAATAACAAGTGAAAAATTTTCAGCCTTATCAGTTGGACATTCCGGTTTTTATACTGCTTTTTTTTAATTCACTAACGCTCTAAAAATGAATATTTCAGCCGCAGTAAAGAATCAACGTTGGCGGATTTTGGTTCTTGACATCCTTTACGATCGGTTACGATGCCTAGAGTACGGAGACCTGTACAATTTCGTCAACTTAGTGAGTTTGATAGGGGCCGTATAGTGGGACTTCGGGAAGCTGGACTTTCTTTTCGGGCAATTGCAGTTAGAGTGCAAAGAAGTGTAGACACTATGGTTAGGTGTTGTCAGGCATGGCTTCGAGAAGGCCGTACGCAAAGAGCAAGGGGCACTGGATGCCGCCGTAGAACAACAGACCGTGAAGATCGCCGCCTAAGATTATTGGCCTTAAGGGACCGTTTCTCCACTACCAGGTCCATTGCAAATGAATGGTTTGCAGAACACGGAAGACCTATTGGCATGCGAAGTGTTTACCGACGAATGAGAAGTTTTGGCTTGTTTTCATACCGGCCACACTGGGTCCTCCCTTTAACTCGAGAACACCGACGTAATCGCCTTGAGTGGTGCAGACAACGGTCACTCTGGGATCAGGAATGGAACAGTATTGTCTTTAGTGACGAGTCTCGATTTTGTTTAGGCATGCAATATGGTCGTGCCAGGGTTAGAAGGCGACGTGGTGAAAGGAGGAATCCACAGTTTTTTGTTGAAAGACATGTTCATCACACTGTTGGAGTTATGGTTTGGGGTGCTATAGCTTATGGTTCCAGGTCACCTTTAATCTTCATCAGAGGAAACATGAACGCGCAGCGTTATATCCACGAAGTTCTAGAACCCCATCTTTTACCCTATCTTGACACCCTGGCATATCCAACTTTCCAACAAGATAATGCCCGACCACATGTTGCAAGAGTCACAATAGACTTCTTACAACATAATGATGTCACATTGTTACCATGGCCACCAAGATCTCCCGACTTATCCCCAATTGAGCACGTGTGGGATATGATGGGTAGGAGATTGCTCAATTTGCAACATCCTCCTCAGACTCTAGAAGCACTTCGAGAGGAGTTGGTGGTTGCCTGGAATGAGATACCACAGGAGGACATTGACCACCTGATCAGAAGCATGCCTAGGCGCGTTGGAGAATGCGTAGCACATCAGGGTGCGTCCACACATTATTAAAGGTCAAAGGGCTTTAAAGCAGTGCAATCATTTTGAAATTTTTATCATTTACTTATTATGCTTCATTAAGTACTTATACAAAATTTTGTTAAAATAAAACCATTTAAACTGGGTGTTCGAGTTTATATGTCACTTAGTATATGTTTGATTCCTGAATTGCAAATTGCAGGTGAATTCAAGTTCAAGTGACAATGAACCTGACGATTACTTTCAAGGACATTTTAAGGTCAGATAAAAATGTTCATTGCGAAAGTACTGTAAGTAATGCATTTTTTTCTACCAAACCAATCAGACTCGCGAATCGCGCGTTAAGTCTGATTGTCTTGTAAAACTCCATGTTTTAAATGCCACATATATCTGACTGATTCTTTATCAACGTTTCGGCTACCTCAGTATCCTTTTTCAAAATAGAAATATAAATGACATTGAGAATATAATACTTTGCACCTTTTATGATTATGACGTTAATTGAACTTTCAGTTGGATTTTCAAGCATCTCCTACAATTTTTTTTTATTATTTTGCCCTTATTGTCCAATTTCGTATTGTGGGTATTCTACCTGATGATAGCTAACCTATACCATATTCCCACGGTCAAGAAATTATTCGAGATGAAATGAGATACTGCAGCGTATTAATGAGATTTTGTGACATCTATATACTAAGTGACATATAAATTCCAACACCCAGTTTAAATGGTTTTATTTTAATAAAATTTTGTGTAAGTACTTAATAAAGCATAATAAGTAAATGATAAACATTTCAAAATGATTGCACTTCTTTAAAGCCCTTTGACCTTTAATAATGTGTGGATGCACCCTGATGTGCTACGCATTCTCCAACGCGCGTAGGCATGCTTCTGATCAGGTGGTCAATGTCCTCCTGTGGTATCTCATTCCAGGCAATCACCAACTCCTCACGAAGTGCTTCTAGAGTCTGAGGAGGACGTTGCAAATTGAGCAATCTCCTACCCATCATATCCCACACGTCAATTGAGGATAAGTCGGGAGATCTTGGTGGCCATGGTAACAATGTGACATCATTATGATGAAAGAAGTCTATTGTGACTCTTGCAACATGTGGGCGGGCATTATCTTGTTGGAAAGTTGGATCTGCCAGGGTGTCAAGATAGGGTAAAAGATGGGGTTCTAGAACTTCGTGGATATAACGCTGCGCGTTCATGTTACCTCTGATGAAGATTAAAGGTGACCTGGAACCATAAGCTATAGCACCCCAAACCATAACTCCAACAGTGTGATGAACATGTCTTTCAACAAAAAACTGTGGATTCCTCCTTTCACCACGTCGCCTTCTAACCCTGGCACGACCATCGTGCATGGCTCAACAAAATCGAGACTCGACACTAAAGACAATACTGTCCCATTCCTGATCCCAGAGTGACCGTTGTCTGCACCACTCAAGGCGATTACGTCGGTGTTCTCGAGTTAAAGGGAGGACCCAGTGTGGCCGGTATGAAAACAAGCCAAAACTTCTCATTCGTCGGTAAACTCTTCGCATGCCAATAGGTCTTCCGTGTTCTGCAAACCATTCATTTGCAGTGGAGAAACGATCCCTTAAGGCCAATAATCTTAGGCGGCGATCTTCACGGTCTGTTGTTCTACGGCGGCGTCCAGTGCCCCTTGCTCTTTGCGTACGGCCTTCTCGAAGCCATGCCTGACAACACCTAACCACAGTGTCTACACTTCTTTGCACTCTAACTGCAATTGCCCGAAAAGAAAGTCCAGCTTCCCGAAGTTCCACTATACGGCCCCTATCAAACTCACTAAGTTGACGAAATCGTACAGGTCTTCGTACTCTAGGCATCGTAACCGATCGTAAAGGATGTCAACAACCAAAATCCGCCAACGTTGATTCTTTACTGCGGCTGAAATATTCATTTTTACAGCGTTAGTGAATTGAAAAAAAGCAGTATAAAAACAGGAATGTCCAACTGATAAGGCTGAAAATTTTTTCACTTGTTATTTACAGTAAGATGAGTACATTCACCAACTTTTATTAAAATAAAACTATATCAGTATATAGCATATAGTCGAAATCACTGAAGATGACGATTACGTCATCACTTTGGTCTTTAGTAAAGACAAACGACAGCGATTTGTGAATATATTTAATGAAGTTTCTGATATGTTAGACAGAGACAAACAGAATTTTATTGTCTAAACAAACTGTATTGCTAATTTGCATATATCCGACAAAGATAGACGATGTTTTCATGTTGGATGATCGATCATATTTGGTGTTCCTGTCTTAAGGTATACTACACATAACTGTTTTTTTCAAAACAAAAACTCCTTACTAAAAATAGTATTAAGGTATCACTCAAAACCGTGAAATAAAATGAAAATAAAAATAATCCGTGAAATAACCTAACTTCGCAAAATCATAATATAAATGTCATTATGTTTCTGACTCGTGATTTTATCATCGACGTACGTCCATTGATTACTTCAGTACAATTTATGGTATGACGTAAGAGTCATCTTTCGTGACTTTGACTGTATAACATACTTGGTTACATCACATTTTCACATCAAAAAAATTCTAAACTCTGTTGCTACGTTATTTCAGTTCAGGTTAGATAATTTTCTGACGCAGGAATATACTATAAGGTTGGCTCTCTTCAGGTAGACTACGTTAATGGTTTCGGGAGACTGAAAAAAAAACACAAAGTTTGAGAAACCTCGCAATCGATCGATTTTCGTCCATAATGTTCCAGGTCAAATTTGTGGCATTCCAGAGCCCCTTTGACGCCTTGGCTAAATTGCTAGCAAGCCCGAATAGATACAAATATACACGATAAACTCATAATACGCCTCTTTATGCGCCTGGGATTAAAAATCGTTGTAACTTCCGAACGTGATAACACAGAAGCTCGGCTTAGAAATCTTTTCAGGGATGAGCAGTTCCCATAGAATTTTTCATCAAAGAGAAATCCTTGCGATATATCCCAGTCAGGTGAACAGGATTTGGCGGATTCATCCTCAA